AGTGAAGTTCACTAACCTTCTAGCAGTGTTGTAACTAAACCTAAGCAGTGTAGTACACTAACTCCTTAGCAGGTAGTACACTAACCTCCTAGCATTGTAGTACACTAACCATCCTAGCAGTGTAGTACACTAACCTCCTATCTGTTGTAGTACACTAACCACCTAGCATGTAGGTACACTAACTCCTAGCAGTGTAGTACATAACTCCTTGCAGTGTGTACCCACTAATCCTAGCAGTGTAGTACACTAACCTCCTAGCAGTGTAGTACACTAACATCCTAGCAGTGTAGTACACTAACCTCCTAGCAGTGTAGTACACTAACCTAGCAGTGTAGTACACTAACCTCCTAGCTGTTTTAGTACACTAACTTCTGTTTTTTGTTCAAAGCAGGTGATCTGTTTTGACATGCTGCTACCCATGTTAAGTATTTACCAAAGTTTACGTAGGAACCATCATTATAGCCTCCAGGTTCTGGCTGAGTGAAAACAGAATCCTCACTTCGGTGGCTTCCTAAATCGCTTGGAGAATAAACCTAATTTGCGGGGAAGAATCTGGAGACCTTCTTGACTTACCCTATGCATCAGGTTAGTCAGTCCTCCCTTTGTTCATGTTTTTCTAATTTAAATTTTCTAGTTTTCTAAGGGGGAAACTATTGAATTAAGTCCCTTTAAGGGGGGGGGGGAAAACTGTTGAAAAACTGGCTTTTTGTATGATCACTGGTTCTGTCTCTTATTTTCTGTTATTATTTAAGGTTTTCAAGGCATAACTATAGAAAAAATAACATTTTGCCCTGATAACTCAAAAGTCTGTCTCTCGTTTTCCATGTTATTTTTCAAGAATTCAGGGGCAACTAAAGAAATCTCACTTTCCTAATCCCTTTAATGATCACCGACTTCCAACATCTCATTTCTATTGGCATTTACTCTCTATATACAAAAAATTTCAGGATGAACTACAGAAAAGTCCTCGCGTATATTCATGAGTCATAGTAAGTTCCTTTGTATTGTGTTCCGTAAATTTATACTTATTTCTACTATACCATCTTCGAATTATTATGCATTAAAATTTTTACTCTGCATTATGATTATTATGCCTTGTTAGGGGTGATTATTAATTTTCTGTTTGGATAACTGACAGATCAGCAATTATCCTATAGACAAGCTTCTACAATCGTTTTGGTTTTACTGGGTTAGGGCTGGGATTCTGGATAATCCATCTGCTTAGAAGGGTATTGGGGTGTTCATGTGTGTGTGCTTATCCATCCCTGGTTGCAGTGGGCTGTGTCACGGCTCCTGGTCAAGCATATGTGTTGCATAGTAATGACTGGTGCATTGCAGATCCCTCGGTACATCATCACATTGCACGAGCTAAATGGCCCACACTCCGCACAACCACGTTGAGAGGAAGAGTCTGGATCACGCCAGGATGCAGTGGAGGACCTATCACGACAAATGCATGATGAGGTAATTGTTGCTTAAATCACCCTCGTTCCTCAGGCTAACCACCTTATGGGGCAGAGACCTTTTGTTTTTTAGAGATTTTTAAAAATTGAAGTTTGAAAAATGTGGAAATTTAAGGTTTTTTACCCAAAAATAGTAAAAAAATTCTGGCAATATTGTCGGTGCAATCAGCTTGTTTTTATCACATTTCTATGTTTTTTCAAAAATGTAATTTTTGTGTGTTTGCTGTCATCGAGAGGACATGTTGAAGATTAAGACACTTATGCAGCATAAGGAATCTTTATTCAGGAAACGTTTCGCCACACAGTGGCTTCATCAGTCCAATACGAAGAGGAAGGCGTTTATAAGTGTCTCAATCTTCAACTTGTCGGTTTTTCAAAACCCTTCATCACACACACACATCAAAGAGGAATGTTGGCAATTGTTATTTTTGTTTTTTTACTCCAATATTGACTATTGTTATGTTTGTTTCATTTCTAATTTCTCAACGTGGCAAGTTCTGTGAGGACTAAAGTGAAGATCAGTGAGTGGTAGCTGCTCAGTCGCCTCTGAGGGGGCCAATAATAATACGGGTTCGAAAACACGCTAAAAACTTGACGCGTCAGGGCCCCATAGTTTTTTTATTTGAAACAAAATATAAATAAACCAGGAATAATTTCCCTGACATTTGTTTTATTTTTTCGAAGGTAATAATAGGAGTGTCATGTATTTTCACATAATATTATGAATTATTTTTCTATTAATCTCGCGGGGTGATTTGCAATGTTTTCAATTTTATTTATATTGACTCTTATTCTCCCTAAAAACTCCTAAAAAAAAACACAAATTTCAAAATTTTTTATAATGCAATCTATTGACATTTCCACAAAAAACTTCGAAATTTAGATAAATTTAATTCTTCATCTATCATCTGATGCTGACCAGAACATTGTATATCCTTATTTATTCATTTATTTTAAGTTTTAATTTATTTATTTGATATTCTATAATTACAATAGAGGGTTGCAATGCAAAGAGAGCCTCTATTATGCCTGGCATTATGGGCCAACTTAACATTATTGACTTACAGTCTACTTAACACTAAGGAGTATATCATAGTTGTACAGTAGGATAGTAATTATTTCATAGTTGTACAGTAAATTATTAATTATAAGTGAATCAAAATTTGTATAAGACAAAAGATAAATTCAACTATTCTAAAATACTTTTTGTGAAAACAATGGTTCAATTATATTCGTGTCAACAATAGATAAAAGGTTCAAAGTGATTGTTGACGTTGTGATGTGGGAGAACATAAGTGAGTGTGTGTGTATTAAGTAGTAGCATTTAGTCTAGGGTGATTAAGTGGCTTTTGAGAAGAGTCTTAAATTAATTTTCAGACTGGGTTACTTTAATATCTTCTGGTAATGAATTCCATATTTTGGGGCCCTTTATGTGCTAGAGTTTTTACACAGTGTGATATGGACACGAGGTTATCAAAAAGAGATCTGTGTTTGTGTTGTGGTTAATGTGTCCTGTTTAGGTTGGTGAGGAAAGTTTGAGTGGAGGGTTTATATTTGCGTGTATTGTTCTGTGTATTTTAGTAGGCATGAATAATTTTGGATGTTCTTAATGGTGAGCAGATTCAGGGTTTTGAAAATTGGTG